AGAGATACTGTACATTTTTTATATTGTCTTTGAAAGTAAGTATGCCTTTTTAGCTAACAAAATATCTCCGTTGGGACTAGCCTGATTTCAAGTGCTCGGTGCTGCATGTGCTTATTGGCAGCTACAGGAGGCAATAGAGTTCTAAATGCCACTGTTACAAGAAAGTGGAACCTCTGTTAGCCTGGCCCCTGAATGACTGGATAGAGTCCAGAACCCTGAGGACAATCTAAAGAAAGCAGACACCCTCACAACTGGACCAACAAGCAACATCAGATAAATGAAGAAGAGACTGAAGTTGTCCCACATTCATTTCACTTGGATCCACAATCAATGCTCACGGAAGCAAAAGTGAAGAAATCAAACGATAGTTTGCATTGGGAAAATCTCCTGCAGAAGGCATCCTTAAAGTGCTAAAGAACCAGGATGTCACAGAATCCTAAGGTGAGTCTAACTCTAGCCATGGTATTTTCAGTGGCCTTCTGTGCATGAGCTGAACACTGCATAAGGGAGACAGGAAAAGAGTGAGGCATTTAAATTACGAGGTTGGCAAAACAATATTGACCATACCATGGACTTCTGGAAGAATGAACAAATCTATCATGAAAGAATGACAGTTGGAACGCTCCTGGGACGCCAGGATGGGGAGAGCTTCACCTCATGCATGACAGACGTGTGATCAGGAGGGACTCGTCACGGAAGAAGGACATCATGCTAGGTAAAATAGAGTCAGTGACAAAGACGAAATGCCTCATAAAGAAGGGGTGACACAGTGACTGCAATTACGGGCTCAAACATAACAATCCTTCTGAGGATGGGGCAGGACCGGGCAGTATTTTGCGTTGGATCGGACTCAACAGCATCTAACAATTACAACAGCCACAGCATGAGCTATTGGGCTAGCGCAGTTCATAATCGATCACCTACCTTGTGCCAGGTTAGATGCTCATCTTTTTCCCTCCAAGGAACCACGAAGTGTTAACAAACAGATAAAGTCAAAATGCTCTCTAAGTTCAGCAATAAAAGATACCTACAATGCTCTTGGATTCCAGAGAAGAGGGACTTAGTCCGGGACGATTGACAGTGCTGGTCCAGGGAGCCCCTTCAGAGGAGTGGAGTACGAAAGCATGAGGATGGAGGTGGGAGCAGTTTGGGAGGGGGCAGGATGTGAAGAGAAGACCACTGGGTGTCGACAGAGGACCTGGAGGGAAGATGTTAAGGGTATTCAAGACATAGGGTCCCTCCTGACAGACATGAAGGCCATGGAGAACTTCACTAGTGCAGAAGGGCAAAACAGCTGGGCTGTTTTCAATCAAGGGCTGGGCTGGTCAGATGACGAAGTGCACTGTTTGCCACGTTTGACTGTGAGCTGCAGACAGACGGTGGAGGATGGATTGAGCGCAGGAGTTATGGAGACAGGAATGGTTGGACATTGTAGCAGTAACTGACGGGGGAAGCGAGGAAAGGTAAAGTCCTAAATCTGGACAGTATGATGTTGAGGAAAATATTGACTTGGGAAAGTTTAGGATGTGAAATGTAACACATTTGGTGATGTATGGGGGTTAGGAGAGAGGCAGAGAGATGTCTCAGGGATGCCTCATATATTCCTGGTTGTGGATACCTCCGTGGATGACAGGGCCAACCAGGGGAAATAAAGACAGGAAATAAGAAGTGAATCCTATTAAAGAGGAGTATGGGAGGCAAATGTCCCTTGTCTGGTGCCTCCACTCAAAACAAAAACAATTTGCAGAAAACAGTCTAGTGGGGAATAATGGGTCGGAACCAGAGATATCTATGCTTTTGTTTTGTTCTACCCTCACAGAAACAGAACCCATTTTTACTTTTACCACTACTATATAGGGAGCGAAAGGGATCCTGGGAGTACAGTAGTTCAGAAATTGGCTGTTAATCCAAAGGTTGGCTCTTGGAGACCACCAGCTGCTCTTTGGGAGAAAGATGTGGCAATTTGCTTCCCATAGGCATCTTACCCAATTAGCAAGGTAAGCGTGGTCCTACTTGTGCTTACTTACCCAATAAACAAGGTAAGCAGAGTGTTACTTGTGTTTGCTTACCTTGCTAATCCAGAAATCTGACACTGCTGCCTTCATAAAGATTTATAAGATGGAAAACTCTATGGGGCGGTTCTACACTATTTTAAAGGGTTGCTTTAGTCAGAATTGACTTAATGGTGAAAGCTTTGTTTGTTTGTTTAATTTGGTTTAATGCAGGCTAAACTGGAAAAGAGTACCAGGTTAAAAAAATTAAGCAGTTTTTTGCACATACACCTAACATTCCATATAATTCAATAGTTTAAGCAGATAAAAAGAGTATTCATCACCACAATCAATTTTGGATCATTTTTCTTCATTCTTATAGCCTTGATTATTAAATTCCAATTTCCCCACCCTCCCCTGTGATAACCCTATGAGATTATTTATCTAGTTTCTGGCTCTATATGTTCACCTATCCTGAATTTCATATAAATAAAACCATACAAAAAAACCCGATTCTAACAAGAGATGTCAGGCAGAATAATAATTTATAAATTATCAAGGGTTCATGAGGGAGGGGGACAAGAGGAAGGGGAAAATGAGGAGCTGATACCAAGGGCTCAAGTAGAAAGCAAATGTTTTGAGAATGATGAGGGTAACAAATGTACAAGTGTGCTTGACACAATGGATGGATGTATGGATTGTGATAAGAGTTTTATGAGCCCCAGTAAAATGATTAAAAAAGAAAACTTCACAAAAATCTCAATCTGAAAGAAAGCAGAAAATAATAAAAAGTAAATCAAGTTAACTCAAGCAAGCTCAAAGGGGGAAGAATGATGAGATATTAAAAATGTAATCTAACTATATCTGCAGTAATCCGTGTTGCAATGCACTCTGAGGACAAGGGATAAGGCAATACTCTCTTGGGTCACTGGACCCAGGGAATTCGATGGAAGCTTACACCATTTGGGAGCTCTGTAACTGTATTTTGGGCTTTTACTGTCCTCCATAACCTTCTGCAAATCAGGTTCTCAGATTTTAGGTTCTAATATAGTCCCCCTTCTGATCAATGATTTTACTGTTACTAATCCTTTGATCACACAGGCTGGTGTGGTCCTTTCATGTGGGCTTAGCTGACATCTCACTCAGATGGCTGCTTGCTTTAAAAGAAGCTTTTGAGATCTCACATGAGATTCTTTCTGATCACAGGACACCGTCTGATTTCCCCACCATATTTGGCTATAGCAGCCATATCTCCAGTGATTCCTTCATGAGGGTAAATATTGAGCTGGGCCACATTATAGATAGGGCTTATGAGTAAGTGTGAGTTCAAAATCCATTCACATATCTAGGCTTATCTATATTCCTGTTCTACTTCAGTGACAGCATTATCAGCCTTTTGGGAGATAAGTACCTCCCATGGGGGCTTTGGTAATTCTGCCAATAATGTCATTAATCTAGCCAATGATACAGAGTTTGAAATATTACTGAGATAAGGGGACTCTTCATATACAGGAAAGGTTTTAGACTAAAATATGTAGTGTTCACTTATACATGTTAAAAAAAAACTTAAGTGACTGAAATCTATTTAAGAAAATAGTGACGATTAGCCACAGGGCACAAAATTCAATAACATTCATTCACTGCAGAACTGAAATCTGTCATAAAAAGCCAAGAATATATAAAAATGAGGCTGTAAATCTTTACAGTGATAGTCTTACTTTTTCTTTCCTGTAGATTGACTGGTGGGTTAGACTGCTGGGTTTATAATTAGCAACTCCACAGGTATCTCATTACACCTTTGTGCCACCTTTATCGACTGGTAGCACTACAGTCACAGGCCTCTGCCATCCTGAAGCCGCTGCCATTAAGTGAATCCCTACTCATTGTTCTGAAATTGTAAATCTTTACAGGAGCAACTGGTCAGTTTGAAGTGCTTACCTTTCAGTTAGCAGACCAACACCTAACCCAGTGGTTCTCATCCTTCCTAATGCTGCGGCCCTTTAATACAGTTCCTTATGTTGTGGTGACCCCCCCAACCAAAAAATTACTTTCATTGCTACTTCATAACTGTAATTTTGCTACTGTTATGAATCGGGCGGCCCCTGTGAAAGGGTCGTGCAACCCCCAAAGGGGCCGCGACCCACAGGATGAGAACCACTGACCTAACCCATCAGAACGCCTTGTTGTTGTGAAGGAATAGGAAATTGAGTACTTGGACTTGAGTGGGTCAAAGGCATGTTGGTCAAAGGCAAGCTTTGCTTTTCTCTATAAGCTATTTTGTATACTTTTGTAATTATGGATAAGTTGAGTTTCTTGAAGCACCTCCAATAAAAAAAAAGTAAGGAAACATATTTTCTCCCCAAATTTTATTGTCATCAAGTGTTTTTGTTACAAGGGTTGAACAAAGCAGAGTTAAACTTCCTTACTCTCACTTGGAAGCTCAACAATTTATATAATTAACTTAATATGAAACCAGATTTAATTTTTCTTTTCTTTTCAGCCAAGTTACGCACTCCTAAGTGACAAAGAAGAGACTATCCCATAGTCACACAATGGGAGCACTCAGAATTATCCAATACCATTTACTCCCATCGAGGACCTCCTTAGGCAGAACAGACTTCGTCTTTCTCTAAAGATTAAGAAATATAAATAGATCCATAAATAGCTCACATAAATATGTTTCACCTCTTAAATAACAAAGTTTCCTGTCTAAAATCTTGATTATAAAACAAAACCAAGTAGGCAATATATAAAACAGCAGAGTCTGCGCCCCAGTGATCTGGTCTTATTAAATACATAAATAACTTAAATCCCTTAGACAAGCACATAAGAAGCAGAATTCAAACTCAGTTTAAACCTTGGGGAGAGCATTCTGATCCTAGCTGAATGGGCTGTTGGGGACAGTGAGAGTTTGCTTAGAAAAAGGACTGGGGTTTTAAAGGATCAGGGTTCCCCAGGAGCTGAACCTACTCCCCAGAATGTCTAACTGCATTGGGGAGCCCATGGCTCTCAGCTCAGGTGCTTGATGATGGGCCGAATACAGGTGCAGCCCACGGTCACCATGATTCTCTCCAGCCGGAAGGAGTGGGGACAGTGCCTGCTATCCCTTTTCAGGACCATGATCTCTTGCTGGATGCCGACGGAGTTCATGTGTAGGTTCACCTTCCCGGCATGATTGACACAGTTCAAAGAGCGGCACTGGGCCTCCCATATCACGCGAGGGTACCTCTCAGGGTCCTCATTAGGGCTGCAAGGGAGACAAAAGCCAGACGGAAGGTGAGCTCCTGGCAAAGCAGAAAGGAAGGAAGTAGGACTGAAAGGAGGCAGGCTCATATATGAGGTTCTTGTACGTCCTATCTTCTCTAAGTGCTGTTAGGATGAAGACATTTGGAGAAAAGTCACATCTCCAAATACATCAGGTGGTATTGAAAATAGACAATTTCCAGTTGGCTTCCCAGTTCATTTGAGGAACAAACACATCTAAATAGGCGGAGACTACAGGGGGATTTGTTTGGCATCAGAGATTGCTTATTTATGGTATAGTTGATAGAGCGAAAAACGACCAAGACCAGAGTTGATTTGGCATTGGTCTGACTGTGAAGGCTGTTTTAGAAATATTTTATCTGAAGGTACATTCATAGGACAGAGGACAGGGCCCAGAGCTGATGCAAGGGCTGGTAACAAGACCATAAGCCCCTCTGTAAGCTTCCCTTCCTTTCCTCTCCCAGCTGGGTAAATGAGTCTTTGGGATGGATTTTGTGAACTCTTCTTAGTAATAAGGAGGAGAAGCCCTAGGTGTGGGTGAGTCTTCAGGCTCCACATAACGAAGGTTTATCTGCACAGAGGCATGGTCAAAATGCATCTTGAATTTCCTCTTTAATGGCACCTAAACTCCAGGTGTAGTGAGGGCACAGCAAGTTTAGGCATGCTCAGGATGTAGATTAAGATCTGACTGCAAAAGGAATAGGGATACTAAACTTGTACTTCCTCCACTGGACTTAAACTCTATTTTCCCAGTTATAGAATGACTGAAAAAAGAACCAGTACAAATCCACCAGCTAATCACTAAATTATTTTATCCAATGTTCTTAATGGTTGCTCTGGTAAAACATAGTTAAGCATTAATACATCAATTGGGGGAAACAATAGATTTGGGGTCTTTTAAATAGTAGAACAGTGACTATAATTTGGGTGGCATTTCAGTGTGAGTGACAATGTGATTGAGTTGTGTGTGTGTGTGTGGGGGTGTACTTTGTTCTACAGAAGAAATTTATAGATTGAAAAATTTGAGAATCACTTTGCTGCACGGTCATCCTTCAAGGCTTGATTAATAATTCCGAGTGGGGAAAAGAAAGATTCTGCAGGTGATGTCACTGCAGTTTCTGATGTGTAAGCATGCTGCAACATGCAGAAATACATACCGGAGAGTCCAAGGTGAGGTGGATCTGTTGGAGTAATCTGTGATCTTTCTGAAGTTCGTGTTATGGCTACTGATGCTATGGCTACTGATGTTCACCATCTGGGGGAAGCCACTCTCCTCGGTACTTGGGCATCGGGAACTCTGTGGCACTGTTGTTCTTGCCATCGCCAGAGTCACCAAGCTCAGCAAGAGGAGCAGTGAGCGGAACTGGATGGGAAGATAAGAGAGGTAGAAGTCATATGCGGGTTTTTAAAACAAACTATGATGATGATGATTGTCTTGCTAATCAAAAAGAACCTGCTGTGCTCCAGAACAATTTATATGACGCCCCCTCCCCCCACTATCGTTGTTAAAGAAATCACTGGTCAATTGGCTAAAACAGTGTAAGACTATGGAGATTTTACTGCTCGTAGACCATCTTCTTTGACTCAGCGAAGACACATCCCAAACCAAACTTGTTGCCTCTGGGTCCATTCAGAATCACGTCAACCTTGGGTTCCCAAGACGTGACATCTATATGGAACCAGACTAACATTTTTCTGTCTGAGGGTGACTGGTGGGGTTGAATCACCAATCTTTTAATTAAGTCAAGTGCTTAATCACTGCACCACCAGGGCTCTTTACATGAGTCATAGGCTCATAGTAAATTGTAGTAAGCATGGCAAGGATTGCCATGCCATTCACCTGTCAACTCATCTGTGGTTGCCAGGTCAACTGGAGATGAGTAACCTTGATTTTCTAAGAGATAATGTCCTCCTGTGCCGTTCTCAGTCTAAGCATTCTCGTAAACCCTATGCGAAATCAGGCATACACCTTGAATTAAGAGAATATCAACAATCTCTGTGGCATCATCATCATTATTAATTCTCTCTGTGTGTGACTGATATTCTTGTATGCTGAAATAATGCATGGATTTTTACAAAGCTACACAAAGCAACAATATACCCTTCGTTTTCAGTTAAGATACTTGGTATATAGCTTTTTGCTTTGGGTGGTGAGCTTCTTGTTGTTGTTGGTTGCCATGGCATCCAACAAACAGGGTCTCCATCTATATACAACAGAACAAAATGCTACCCTGTGCTGCACCATCCTCACCATTGCTGTTAGTGGCATCCTTATTCATGTTAGACACATCATTGGTCCCACTGATGAGCACTTAACTAACCACCAGTTCCACTTACATGTTCTTATGCATATTTTCTGGTTAACAAAATATGTATTGACTCTAATATAAAGTCTGATTTCAAAAAAATATTTTAAGTTAAATATCTTGAGAATGTAAAGCCTATTGACTCTGAACCAGTTACACATCTATCTAATTATAATAAGTTCATTTTAATGCCCAAACATCAAATAGTATGTTGCTGTTCTTAAGGGCCAATGCATAGCTCCCCTACACACAGCAGAATGAAGACCCACCTGGGCCTGGGCCATTCTCACAATTGTTCTTATGAGAGCCCATTGCTGTGGGCACTATGCCAATCCTTCTTGCCAAGCTGATGGTATAGGGTATTGAAAAAAAAGGTCATTGCCATAACTTTTAAATTCTCATGGTGTTATGGATGGGGGGGGGGGAATGGTCGTAATGGTCTAATTGAAGTATTTTACTTTTTTTTTTTGTACTCAAGAAAACAGCATTTCAATAAACATTCTTTCTTGCTGTACACCACCATATCATTAAGCCACAGTCTTATGTGGTTTAACCCCAATGTAGCAACTCTTTCCGTTTTAATCTCATCTTTCAAACTGATGTCGATCAGTTCTTGAAAAGGGTCTATAATGATTTAAATATCCACCAAAGCTTTCATTACCTACCCTGCACACAAAGTATTTTTAGATCTCCCATAGCTATAATACACATTTTCATATCACAAATAAGAAATCATATTTGGTACATATCAGTGAGCGCACAGCACAACAGTACAGGACTCACCCCAGGCAAGGGCCTCACAGACAACATCGCAGCTTCCTCTGAGCAGCTGAGGATGGATGAGCTTGTTCCTGCTATGTGCCACAAAATGTGCAGCTCTCTTTATATAGGACTTTGCTCCTTCTGTGGTCACTTACATTGAGTGCATGAGTGGGTTTTGGTGATGTGGTTAAATTTCCATGCCAAAACGAGGTCAAAAAAGAACTTCCCCTTCATGATGTGTAATATTTGCTTATGAAAGGAAAATCGGAAGGCAGAAATTCGCATCTTTATGTCTTCTTTTCATTCGTCAAGAAACGATTACTTATTGGAAGCTATGAAAAAGATATGTGACATGGTGATGATGACGGACTCCTTCCAGCTATGCAAGCAGGAAGGAAGATCAAACTCTACATCAGTGTCACCCAAGGCCAATTTCTGTGAGGCCGAGATCAGACACGTCCCACCCTCCAACCTTCCTGCCAATTCTTACACCAACTGTCTCTCCGTCAGCCACCTCTCCTTTTCAGATGGGTTTGACAATTCATTGCAACGGCTACACAGAGCTCACAGAGCTCACCGACGATACTCATGATTTGGGGGTTTATTAAGGGAGTTCACAGGTTACAAAAGCTCAGGATACAATTATTGGGATAGGAAACACCTGCTCTGCCATGCCCATAGGCAGATTTCTTTCTGGTCTTTGGCTTTTTAGTCACATGGCTCCCTGTCTGATGCCCTACTTCTGCAATGCTAAAATACTCTTTAGAGCTACCATTAAATGCCCATAGGGCACATCACTCCACTATAAGCCTCATCCTGAAGATGCTCAGCTCTAGATCTGTAGATCAGCAAACCTAGTTCCCCAATTAAGTGCCTGAAGCTGCTCTGGAGGATGGGAAGCCACTCTATGTCTCGTGCTCTGGATCCCGTTCTGGCCCTGTCGTTCCTCCTTGGCACTTCTCCGGTATTATAGCTGTTTCCTGGATCAAGCAGATTCAATGCACAGGGATCTCAGGGTCCAAAGATCTTAGCTCTTTGTTCTTGCTGGTAGTAACATCTCCCTCCTGCTGCTGAGATGGTTCATTTTATATGCAGCAGGATGATAATCACAATTAATCCTGTTAACAATCACTCACAATTGAATCCGGTCAGGGTTTTTCCATACCATCTCTAACTCAGACCCATTAGGAAAAAGTCATTTGGTGGAATTACCAAAGATTATGGCTAGAAGAGCCATATTAAATATTTCACTGGACGGCAGAAGCTGAGCAAAGATGCTTTGCTGTGGGCTAAGATAATTTACTGATGGGCATATATCAAAGTACCATAAGAGTTATGCTCCATTTTAATTGCTCATAGGGAAATAAGAGTTAGACATAATTTACAAATCTTCTGGGATCAAGTCCCTCGATTTCTCAATGATCTTTTAAAAAAAATCACTTTATTAGGGGCTCATACAACTCTTATCACCATCCATCCATCCATCCATTGTGTAAAGCACATTTGTACATTCATTGCCCCCATCATTCTCAAAACATTTGCTCTCCACTTAAGCCCCTTCTCATTAATCTTTCCTTTCCTCACTCGGTTCCCTGACCAGATGTCATGAAGACAATTACAGAAACTTCTCCCTTCACCTAAACAAACAAAATGAACAAATAAACAATGTCATGATGACGGGCTATATTATATGTTAACACAGCATGTTGTCAAATATGTTATTTAACATGTTATTTAAATCAATTTTGTATCAATGACCATATTATATCAAATAGGTTATTTAACTTGAGGCTCAACTCTGTGCAGCTCTTCGGGAGCCTTTGGGCTCACGCTCGAAGGAGGGAAAGACTCCCTACACGTAGAAGGGGAGAGACCTAAAGACTGACCGGACCCGATCGAAGAGACTCGACTCTGTTTGCATTTGGGGACTCACGGACTTGGAGAGTAGTCGTGTATCCAGGGTGGCTGGCTAGACAAGAAAGGAGTCACGGAGGAGGTAGCCATGGAGGCTTTGTTTATACCAGTTAACAAAACCTTTTAAAAAAAAATTAAATCATTTTATTGGGGGCTCATACAACTCTTACAACGATCCATCCATCCATCCACTGTGTCAAGCACATTTGTACATATGCTGCCACCATCATTTTCAAAGTATTTTCTTTCTGCTTGAGCTCTTGGTATCAGCTCCTTTTCCCCTTTTCCCCACCCTCCCTCCCTCATGAACCCTTGATAATTAATACATTTTTTTTTTCATGTCTTACACCGACTGCTGTCTCCCTTCACCCACTTTTCTGTTGTTTGTCCCCCAGGGAGGGGGCTATATGCAGATTATTGTGATCAGTTTCCTCTTTCTCCCCCCACCTTACACTCCTGGTATCACTGCTCTCATTATCGGTCCTGAGGGGTTTATCTGTCCTGGATTCTCTGTGTTTCCAGCTATGATCTGTACCAGTGTACATCCTCTGGTCTAACTGGATTTGTGAGGTAGAATTAGGTCATGATAGTAGGGGGAAAGAAGCACTAAAGAACTAGAGGAAAGTTGTATGTTTCTTTGGTGCTATACTACACTCTGACTGGCTCGTCTCTTCTTTGTGACCCTTATGTAAGGGATGTCCAGTTATCTACAGATGGGCTTTGGGTCTCCACTCCATGTTCCCCCTCATTGACATTGATATGATTTTTTGATCTGGGTCTTTGATGGCTGATACCCGATCCCATTGACACCTCATGATCACACAGCCATGTGGGCTTTGTTGCTTCTCAGCTAGATGGCCACTTGTTTATCTTCAAGCTTTTAAGACCTTAGATGCTATATCTTTTGATAGCTGGTCACCATCTGCTCTCTTCATCACGTTTGTTATGCACCCACTTTGTTTTCAGAGATCATATTGAGAAGGTGAGCATCACAGAATGCCGGGTTTCTTTTTTTTGTCGTCAGTTTTTGTTGTTGTTGTTTTTTCATTGCTTCATTTTGCTCAGTATTATTTTTGTGCTTATTATTGTCTCTGCAGGTCTCTCTAGATAAGATAGGCACGGTAAACAATCTGGAGGAGCAAGCCACAGGACCGAAGGTTCTGGGGTTGGGGGTTAGGGGGGTGGCACACGGGAGAGGAGGAGGCACGGGAAAGGAAGTGGGTGTTAACAAATTCAGGGACCAGGGAACAAGTGACCTAAAATCGATGGCGAGGAGGACATAGGATGCCGGGTGGAGTTTGAACAAGGGCAATGTAGCCAAGAGGAATTTGTGAAACCCGAATGAAGGCCTAACATGTTAGTGGGACAAGAGGAAAGTAAA